TAATAATAAAAAAGATAAAGCTTGAAAAACTTAAGTCATAACAATGCAAATAAAACTCTCACAAATGAGATATGAAAAGTTCTCACAACGAATAGGTGAAAAGCTCTCACAAAAATGAGATGTGAAAATTACACAGAGAACCCAAAGAGTCTCTGTGACTTATTCAAAACATAAAGAAACTGCAAAAAAATATGGTGGTGAAGATCTAACGCTGAAACGCAGGTGGAAATTTGATGCCGAGACGCAACTTCCTGTGATAGTTGGAGGAAAATCATAACAAAACGAAAATAAGGGAAGAATATAGGGGACAAAGTTGGACCCTACATTTAAAAGCCTTAAGGTGATTTTTCACACCTTGTGTATCCAACTTGAGCTTTTAATCATCAGCATCAAACCTAGTCCTATCCTCATCCATCCAACAAATAAAATAAATTATCTGCTAGTATTATTGTTTGAAAATATATATTTAAAAAAAACAAGTGTCACAACATAATGGCTGCATACTATAAGCCAGCCGAGCCGAGCCGAATGAAAGACCAAGTGATTGTCACCGGCATTTAGAATGCGGAAGAGGACTTAAAGCCTTTGTGCTCATACTCAGCCACGTGTCCTCGAACCAGTTCGAAAGCTGCTTAAAAAAACTGAGAACCCAAAAAATAAATTAAAAAAATAAAAAATTCAGAGCTATGAATGAGTATATGATTTCGTGCCCCCAACACTCCACACTTTTTTTCTTCTTTTTTCATTCATTGATTTTTAAAGTTGAAAAAAGGTCATATTGTTTTTTCTACTTTTACTTTTGCTTTCAATTTGCCTTAAAACTACAGCAAGTTTTTTATTTATTATAAAATAAAATAAAATATATTTTCTTAAATTGGTTAGTTTAAATAAAATCACCCTTCCAAAATTGATGAGGCGAGTTTAATTTAATCCATCATTATACATTGGTTTATTTATTAATACGTATTTATTTATTTAAAAGCCTCTCAATTCCAATCTCATTATTCACCTTTATTCTCACTTTTAAAGTTTTGCATAAAATATACTAAACTATAGATAAAAATGTGTGGTACAAGAAAAAAAGAATCAAAGTCATAATCATTGACGAAATTGTTATTCAAAAAAGCCAGTATTCCCCATATTTCGAGAATATAAAGGTGTCACGTCCTTAACCAAGGTTGGGAAGTAACATCACAGATAATGGCATACCAAAAAGACTTGTGTGCCACATGAGCCAAACAATTGTAATAAGAAAATAAACAGAATAATCACTTGAGTTAAGTGATATCGGATAATCTCGGACAAATTATAATAATAAGAAAATAAACAATTGTATACAAGTGATATTGAGAGATGAGAGATTTGAACACAAATTTTGTTACAGTAGTAAATATTCTTAATCACTTGAATTAAGAGATATCGGATAATCTCAAAATTGAATAATATCGGACAAAAAATAATACTTGGTAACTAGGGTGGTAGGGAAAAAATAGTGTGGGATAAAACAAGGATATATAAATAAAAACGGAAAAATTATAGTGCCAGGCTAGCAAGTATGATTATTTCCCTAACTGGACAAGGTTTTTTTTATAATTCTAATATTTTAAAATTTTATTAACATAATTCTTCATTTCTTCGGCCAATAGGCAATAGCTCTATCTAAGAACCAAAAATGGGATTATTTAAACAAACTCCACCTTGGGTATGACACGTGGATAACATTTTAACGAGTAGCCACAAATAAACGGAGCTGGGTGGGTCCCACAGGAGGAGCACATGCATAATGATACATGTGACAATAATGTACACGACAATCCAATCCAAATCTGCACAAATGGAACAATGAAGGACGGGTGCACTTCTTTTTTTTTTTTTTGGTAAAAGGTGCACTTCTTTTTTTGGGTTAGCGATATTATTAACTCTTTTTAGTTTCTTTGGTATAAATTTTTTCAAGAAAATGCATTGTATTTTGAAAATATGATGACAATCCAGTCATTTAATGTTGTTTCAATTTTGTTTGGTTTAAATGTCAATCAATGTTACTTCGATACGTTTCATCAATTGTGTCAATTTAATACTATGCAAATGAATTATGACATAAATTTAAAGTTAAGTTTTCATTCTAAATCAATGCTTCGATCATAACATTGGGAATATCATAAATAGTAACCATATAATTTGACTAAGGTTATTCGCAGCAATGGTCTCTCAACTATACCCGTAGTTACAGTTTGGTCACTCAATTCAATTATTAGTTGCAGAGGTCAGTCACTCAAGTAGGTGTTTTGTTGCACCATTAGTCATTCCGTCAAGTTTGTGACTTTTTCCATTAAAAATAAGGGTAAATTCGGAAATTCATCAACAACCCTCCTTTTCCTCCACAATCCTCCATTGCCGCAACCCAATCCTTGTTTCTCCTTCCTTGTACCAAAATATGGGCAGAAAAAGGAAAAATTAATCCAAATACAATGAGCCGTATGTAAATGTGTACATAATCAGAGAGCGAGAGAGAGAGAGAGAGAGAGAGAGAGAGAGAGCTAGAGTACCAGTGAAACTAAGAGAAAACTTGGTGATGAGAATGCCGGTGATGGCGAAACTGACCAGGAAAGGCCAATTTCGGTTCCACTCACGCTTGAATAAGACGGGCCATGGATCGAACTTTTGCATCTTTGATTTTCTCTTCTTTTCTCTCTAACCTAACGGACAAGAAGTGGTGAAATGCTACCTTGGCTTGCAAGCGTTTGTTTTGGTGCGAAGCGAGAGTCGTCGAGAGAGTGACAATTGGGTCTGGAAGTGCCGAAGGCTTTTACTGCACAGATCGATATGTAGTTTTTGTAGGAAGAAGGGTAGGTGGGGAAGGGATGGGAGGGTGAGAATTGGGTCTGGAGTATTTTGAGGAATACATGCTGGGGATGGATGCCCAATGAGACAGAGAGATAGGGATTGGGGTTGGGAGGGAATAGAGGAGGAAGGCGTGGGTTGCGGCAATGGAGGAAGTGGAGTGTTGTGGAGGAAGGGAAGGGTTGTGGATAAATTTCCGAATTTACCCCCATTTTTGACAGAAAATTTAATAGAGTTTGACAGAGGGACTAATGGTGCAACAAAACACCTACTTGAGTGACCTTTGCAACTAATAATTAAATTGAGTGATCAAATTGTAACTACGGATATAGTTGAGAGACTATTGCTGCGAATAACCCATTTAACTAAATACTAACATTTGAATGCGAAAACTTAGTCTTTTTTCTTTATGTATACTAATTGAACAAGTTTATAGTGTAAAATTTGAATGTTTGTGTTCAATATTGACTCGATTTGTTTATTATGAGCTTGTGTCAAGTAAATGTGAACCCAAATTTGGTAATTTTCATGTTAGAAAACTACCACCACTATTTAAAAGGTCAAAGGTTTTGTGCTTGGTTTTCAGATCCAATTTGAACGTGGCACAGATTGTTAGGCAGAATTTGACCAATTGGGTTTCGGTTAATTGTCTTTGTTAATTAATTAACTCGAGTGCTTAGTGCCCCTAATTATCTGTTAATACTCAAATTCATAGCAAATGCCCAAAAACTAAAGGGTGTTGTCATTTTTGGGGCACGCACACATGGCAGGCAGAGGGGAGGGGCAGGAGGGGCTTTTGGATTTTTTTATAACGCAGCAGCTTCTAACAAGTTTCCGGTAAATCGGACGGTTGTTGTGACTTGTGAAAGCGAAAAGAGGGAGGGACGCAGAGAAAACGGTTAAAGATAAAAGGTTCACGTGGTATGGGTGGCCTCGTGGCCGTTAGATCTCCAGCCTGTTGTGTTGTGTTGTGTGCATGAAAGTGACACCCAAATGGGGCATTATTTATGGTGGAATATCGGAAATAAATAAAATATGAAGAAAAAAATTAGATGGACACGTGGCAGATGAAAGCTGATTCCTGTTACTTACAAAGTTTTATGACATAATTAAGCATGGGTTTCCATACTCGAAGCTGCTTCTTTCATCTTGTGGGTTTGTTTGTGGGTGTTGGGTTAGGACCACTCTCTCGAGCTTGCTTGCTTGTGGCTGTGGTTCACAAAATTTGGATGAAAAGAACAAGTGCTTTTTATTTTGGGTTGCTTTTGTTCACAGCACTTCAAAACATTTGATTACGCGATAGGAAGAGTGCGTGATGGCAACAATTTGGGGAAGTTGACTATTATGCTGCATTTTTTTTATTGCTTAAATGAATGAAAAGGTCTCTCTTTATCACATTGCCGAAGACGCTAGCTCTGTCCAAGTTTACACGAAGTAATTGACGCATACTACTAGTTTTGTGAAGAAAACAGCAACCGAGTAATTACATACGTAGACGACTGTTGCTAGCACAACTCAAACGCCTCTAAAATCATTAATTTTCTTGAAATAATTAGGAAAGTTGGGAGAAAAAATGGAATTATATAATATATAGAGTATATATAAAGCTTCAATCGAAGGATTTCTCAAGTAAGCTATTCATTAGTATTTCAATGATCCGAGCCAACTATAATTGAGGAAACTAAACCTAAACAGAAGGGGCCATGACAAATAATCACCCACGCACTATTCACGACACTTCATTCTGGTTTATGTGTACGGATGCTGACTCAAGATAAGGTTGGGATTATTATTACACAGCACAAACATACGTCCACCAATCAGCTATTGCAAAAATTAATAATAGTTTTTATTATTTTGTAAAAGAGGAAAAATCATTATTAAAATGAGATTGGATTGTATTTGCAGAGGTACCAGAATCCCAGATGAAGAAACTGTGCACATTGAAATGGCGTGTAGGACAACTGGAACTGGAAGGACAAAGGCTTTTTTTTTAAATTTCCTCGGCCATCAAGGCTTTTAACCTTTAAAGAAACTCTGAAACTCAACAGCACTCTTTTTCATGGCACTCTCCCTGTCTAAAAAACTGACCTCTTTTTGGCTTTGAAAATATCTCTGGTCCTTTTGTACCCAAAAAGAAAATATATACCTGCGATTCTGACAAAAAGTAACTCAATCTCGTCACCCCTCCTCCCCCAGCAACGACAAAAACTTGAATTTTTACACATCATTGAAACAACAATCCAAGCAATGAACTATTGAACATCTTCCCGCTTTTCCTACAATTTATCCAATGACACATTCTTATGTTTTTGCTACAAACTGCTCACATATGGAAGTTCTTGCATTACAAAATTGAGAATTGGTTGGTTCAATGGGCCATTTACTCATACTAGACAAAAACCCTTTTAGTGTGGGGCCTATGGGTAAGGAGCTTTTCAATTGGGCCAGTGGAAAAGTACCCAGAATTCTGATTGGCATGACCCGCTAATAACCAAATTTGGGAGAAAAACTGTGTTGCAAGGGACATAGCAGCTATCTCTGTCCAATAATAATATGCCAAGTGGAAGTGTTATCACACGTGTCATAACGTTATTAGCCAGGAATAACAAAATAGTGCTATTCCTTTCTCCAAATTTGGGGCAAGTATGGGCAAAAGCTTCTCAATAGTAATGCTTTCCATTTTGATACTTTCCAACCATCTCAGTGACCAGAAAATTAAAGAGGAGAGAAATCCAAGTCATGTATTGAATGACACAGGATAATGGTAGTGGTATAATCTGAATTGGTGTTTGAACTTAAGCTAAGTTTTCATATGTATTTACTCGGGATTCTTCAGCAAGTCACATGATGCAGAAGTTAAAAGGTCAAACAAGTCGCTTTTCTTACATGAGATATCCAATTCCTTGGCGTGCTTTAGTAGTCAAGTTAAGGTAGAGACGTACCCAGCTAAGAATCTGGAATATGGACTACACTGGCAGTTGCTTGGTCTTCCTTTTTTGATGATTTCTTTCTCTTCCTCTCAGACTGGGGCTCTTTGGCTTTCAGATCATTGCTGAAGGACCTCAAAAAGGCAGCCAGATGTTCATTTCTATGTGCTGAAACCATGTTTTTCCAAGAAGAATTAGTACATCCAGAGTTCAGACATACAAAAATGGAAGACAGAATAGAATAACTAGGTTCATAAGAGCTTGTGGCAAATTGGTATATCATTCAATTTCGTTGAAGTTGATATCCATTTAAACTCTAAGGGTTGAACACTCACCAGAAAGTATGACATCTTCCATGTTTGCAGTTTTACGACCAGCGTGTTGAGCAAATAACTCCAGATCCTTTGCCAACTGTTCTGTTTTGCAAAATAGCAAGGCTTCCATTAGTTTCAATTCAGCTTTTTCCTAATGATGATTGGAACCCATTATTGACATTTTTCATACAGGATATTGTATCACTCTAGAGTCTAGACTTTCTTTCACTACAATTGTTAGGCTGAACAAATTTATGACATACAAATTTCTTAGGGTGAGTTGTATGATGATCATGTCACAATTCTTTACTTCATGAGAAATATTCTTAGACTTGGTGCTCAAATTAGACATGCAGAACATGTTTCACAAATCAAAATATTCAAAACATCCCACAATTATCTCTCAACAACCCTCTTACTAACAAATCTAACCGGACTTGTTTCGATCCACATTGACGAAAGTAGACCCACTTCCTAATCAGACATTTCATTTGTCTATCAAACTCTAAGAACCCAATTCTGAAACTACAATTTCTCACTTTCTAGTAAAAGAGGCATTTCATTTGGAATGTTTAAGCAGAATAACAATACCATTCTGTTTCTGTCAGTTGAATGCACCAGTCGAATTGTATGATTATCGCAATTTGGAATTTATGACCCAAAAAAGAAATAGATATCGCAATTTATCTTACATTCTTAATTGCATGGCAAATATCAAAGTTATAGGCAAATATCAAAGTTATAGGCAAATACCAGTAAATTTGAAGGCCAAATCGGCAATGCAAGTCATCACGGGTCCCGATATTTCCATGTCGTTTCTCTTCGCTGTGCAGTGAAATAGCATTTGACAAGTGAGAAGTGAGAACCAGAAACAAAATCAAGACCATCCAATTAATGAAACTAGGAAGATTGAAGAATGTGGTACCTTCGGCTTCGGCGATAGAGATGGTGGAGACTCTGAATCGATCTCTCAAAAGCTCGCTCACCGAGTCTTCTTCTTCCCTCTCCATTTTCTCTTGCTCTGGAAAAAATACTAGGGTTCCAAACTAGTTATTTATTGATACAATTACGCGCGGGAAAATGGAGTTCAACGCATTGTTTTGTAAAGTGAAATTGTTTAAGTAGTGTTTGAAAACTCGGCCTAGGTTTCGAACAAGAGAAAAAAAAAAAAAGTAAAAATCTCAAGGGCTTTTTCTGAATAGGCCCATTATAAAATGACAAGGGCTTTTTAATATTCACATCCTATAACAAAACAAATAAATTTAATCTAAACTTTAGAAGAGATTTAAAGTTATAACCTTCATTCTTCGATGATAAAAAAAAGGTATTAAAATAGAAAAAAACTTTTGTCCTTTTCAATACGTGGTATTGTTTGTATGGATAACTATGTGGTATTGCAAATTAAATTGATGATGTTATGACGGCTGCTAATATTTCCATAATTATTTTATTTTTTTTCTTCTATTATGATGATTTGAAGATAATGATATAATTTTGGCATCTTCCGTTGTCTCTAAACATGATTTCTCCTTTATCACGAAATTAATGATTTGTCAATATGTATTCACGAAAATCTGTAGTTTCCTTGTTTGACAGAAAAATAATAATAATTTTTAGTTTCCTTAATTGATGATTGACCAGCACATCTGAGCTCGTAAGGCATTTCCTTAAGACTTGGAAAACTGATTAGGTAACGCCAAATCGCATAAGATACCCTATATGAATTATATGAGTTACAAAAAATTTATGTGTATCAGGTAACACCGATCCGGAGGCATTTCCTTAAGACTTGGAAAACTGATTAGGTAACGCCAAATCGCATAAGATACCCTATATGAATTACATGAGTTACAAAAAATTTATGTGTATCAGGTAACACCGATCCAGGGTGTTAGAATATGAGTGGCGGCTAACTAATCCATGTTACAACATGGATGTATTTAGAACGTTATGTAGCGGTGCTACAATCACATCGAAAAACTTGTCACAAAAATTCCATTGGAGTGCCTAAACAAGTGAGTGATGCAGCTGCGACCTTTAAGGAGGGATGGTGCCCTATATGGAAGAATATTAATTCACCAGTGACCACAGGAAAGAACAATGGAAGAGTAGGCTGTAAATTTACTTAAAAAATAGGAATGTTTCCAATAAATGGAGGACAGTGGACACTGAATTACATATAGGAAGGAGTAGCCATCGTCCCAAAAGTTTACATCTCCTTGTTGGAAGAGTCTTCTGATCTAACCAAAACTTTGTCTAATAAGACGCACCCTTTTGGCTCTTCATGGCATTAGACTCAATCAAACATGAAGGTGCTAGCTCTACTACACCTGACCAAGTTGACAGACAGCAGGTGCCGAATGGGAGCAGCGACGACAGAGCCAAACGACACCCTCGATGGACCAGGCACGAGACGTTTGTCCTCATAGAAGGCAAGAAGGTCGTGGAGAATGCGGTTCAGAAGGGCCGCAGCAGATCTTCTTCAGCCTTGGGGTCAGACCATTTTGAACCAAAGTGGGATCTGGTCTCATCATACTGTAAACAGCGAGGTGTGAGCAGAGAGCCAGTTCAGTGCAGGAAAAGATGGAGCAATCTTCTTGTTGATTTCAAGAAAATCAGGAACCGGGAGTCACAGATAAAGGGAGCGGCTGAGTCTTTTTGGGTGATGAGAAATGATGTGAGGAAGGAGAGGAAGCTTCCCGGTTTCTTCGATCGGGAAGTTTACAACATCTTGGATGGAAATGCTGCGACTGCAACAGCAGCATGTCCACTGGCATTGTTTATCCCAGTACAAACAAATGCACAAAGTGGTGATGGGGCAGAAGAGGCAGCTGCAGAAGAAGAGGAGGAGGAGCAACCTGGAAAAGCTGCCAATGGCCTTCAACAGGATATGGCAGAAGATGGTTTAAGCTCAGATTCTGAGGAGTCAGAGCAAGAGGAGACAGAGTCCAAGAAAGAAAACCTGATGCAAGACAGTCCTGCAACAACAGTCACAACTCCAATGCCCTCTTCAGGTGATATTGATTTTCTTTGCATTCAAATCATTTCATCACGAACATGGCCAAATGACTCTAACATTCGACTATCATAATCGTCTACCCATATAAGCTTTTGGGTTATGGTTTTTGGAAAAGGCTTGCAGAGGCTCCTCATATGAATGCAAAAGATATATCTAAATAGATAGTCATAACATAATACATTGGGCTTGGAGCAAACTAAGAACTTGTATTTTGTTGTTCTTCTATCATACAGGCACAATAAAAGAGAAACGGGGTTTAGACTCAAATACATGCGGAGAGCATATCTCTCAGGAGAAACGGAAGCTGAGACGGTTGGCAATAGACGGATGTGAAGACAACTACAGTGACCAGTTGATCAGAGTACTTGAGAGGAACAACGCCCTGCTGAATGCCCAACTTGAAGCTCGTAACATAAATTGCCATTTGGATAGGGAACAGAGGAAGGAGCAAAGTAACAGCTTACTTGCTGCCATCAGCAAGGTCACAGATGCACTAGTGAGAATCGCAGATAAATTATGATCAAACTTCATGGTAAAGTGAAAGACCCTAAGAAGCTGCATGTTAGAGTGTACCATGTAGGAGGGATCTTACAGTTTTTGTTTAGTGCATCTTAAGCTCATTTCTTCTTTCTTCTTCTACCAGTCATTGACTCTATACAGAGATCACACAGAGTCCTTTTAGCTTAGGGGTTTGATTGTTGATCTGTTTGGAACTAGTTACCATTCTGGTGATGAATTTCTTGCGATCTCTTCTCCAAAGAAAAACAACAACAAAAACAAAACAAAATTTCTTGCCATCTACCTACTAAAATGGAAACCAGGAGAAACAAATTTCAGAGAAGTTTCTCGCCATCCAACCAACCAGATTGAAACAGGAAGGCATACATAAACTTGCAATGAACTTGGCATCAAAGTCAACCAATTCAAATGTCATATAAAGAACACAAAATTGTCATTAACATCAAAAGTTTGATACATCAACATCTTGTATAAATAGTACACGCCATACATACACGTAGAGGATGAGATTCATGAGAACGTACATGTAAACGAGCTTTACAAACTGTTAGAGGAAGATCCTAAGCATTTTTAGGAATCAGAGCAAAGGCAGAACTCAAATATGGCCTCTCTTCCTTATTTAGCAGGAACAGCCTCAACTAGCCTCGAAAAATAAAATTGTGTAGTGGTTAGTCCTCTCTTCCTTATCCTCCACCCAACCTTCTTTAAAGCCCTCTCAACATCAGCCTCCGCATGTAGATATGCCCTTGTTGCCTTCGAAGGCCCCGGGAACAACTCTCCTATCCTCTTTAGCAAATCATAATACAACGTCTTTGGTGCAAAACTGATAAGTAATCTATTTTCGGCCAATGAAGCAAGATGAGCAATCATCGCATCAGCCTTGCTCTGTGGGTAATGAATCAAAACATCTAGACAGACCACTGTGTCATACTTCCCATCCAGGCTCTCTAAATCCTTCACTTCAAATTTTGGCATTACTGGCCCTCCTGAGAACCCACGATTGCTCAACTGAAGCTGCTCTCTTGCCTGCATAAAAAACCAAAATTTGAGGTTCATGATTATCAAAAGCTCAAAATCAATTTGCTTTTCAATTGCCAAAAAGCTCAAAATCAGTGTGCTTTTCAGTTACCAAAAGCTCAAATGGGCAAATCAAACCAGCCATCAACAATTCACATTCAAGCAAAAATATCACCAACGCTAACCCAGATAAGCAAATTCCATTTCCACCAAAACCCACATTGCCAATCGGCCCAATCCCATCAAATTTGAGATTTCCCTCCAAAACCCACAACCAAAGAAGCGGTCTTTTTACTTCATAAAAACTCACCTGCTTCTCAGCCTCAGCAACCATGGCAGCTGAAATATCAGCAGCAGTGACAACAGCACCTTCCTTCGCCAGCGGAATCGCCAAACACCCCGTCCCGCACCCAGCGTCACACACAGTAACCCCTTCAAGCTTTCCTTCATCGGTCAGCATCTTCATCACATTTTCAACGGTCTTGGAGTGCCCAAGCCTAATATCTCTCTGAACCCTGTTGACGTCATCCGTCTCGCCATATATCTTCTTCCACCGCTCGAACCCGGACTTGTTGAAGTAGTCCTTCACCACCTCCTTGTCGCCGCCGCCGACCTCCTCGGCTTGGAGGCGACGGCGCCGCTCTGGGTCGGCTAAGGAGAGCGCGGCGGCGAGTGCGGCTACCGAGCCGCCACCGATAGCGGCGATGGTGGCGCTGTCGACGTCGGCGACCGCTGTGAGGGGCGGCGGGATGGCGAAGAGGGGCTTGGTGGCGGTGGTGGTGGGTTTTAGGGCGGTAGAGGGTTTTGGGGAGAATCTGGGGTGTGGGTTGTGGAAGTGGAGTGGGGAAGATAGTGAGGCTGAAGATGCCATTTTTGTTTTTGATTAGCTTCTTTGGTTTCTTCTCTCCCCGACCGGCGAGAGAGAGAGTGGAGTGTAGAGACTGTGTGGAAGTTGGGTAGTTGATGAGCTTATCCTGGATAGGATAAGAGTTCGGGTTTCCTCGATTTCCGTGGGGTCCCGCCCTTTTTCTTTTCTTTTAAGGCTGTGTTTGGTTGTTCTGAAACCAATGATGAATGTCATTCTCATTCTAGAAAAACAAGAACCAATGATACTCATTTTATTTGAAATAGTATCTTTTTTTATTTATTATAGAGGAGTAGGAATCGAACACAAATTCCCGACACATCAATAGTGTAGTTTTCTTTTTGGTTTTTTCTTGGGCTTCGGCCCTCCTTGTAACCGAAAAAAAATAAAAATAAAAAGTATTTGAAATGTATGGAAATCTTTACCATTCAAAATTACTACAAACTCATTCTTGCTAAGAAATGAGAATGGAATGAGGAAACAAAAGTAAGTTAGCTTATTTCTTATATGAAGTTGTAAATCAACTTTGCGTATATGTGTTTCATAAATGTAGTACAAAGTTTTTTTTTGGTCAAATCGGAAGTTCCGAACTTGACAACACAAGTCAAAATACAGTTTAAATAACTCAAATAGCCCCTAAGAGTATCACTAGTGGGGGTTGTATTTTCAAGGGTGTAAAGCAAATTTTACATTTCCTTTATACTCCGGGAGATATGCGTTTTTTACTCTAATAGAGAATATGTAAATCCAAATATGCATTTTTAACTCCAAGGAGAATGCTAGCAACCTTCTCTCTAACCTTCTCTTTTGTATCTTTTCCCTTCTCCTCATGACACATGTCACTTTGGTTACTCTTAAAACAATGTTATTAATGCATACACAAACCTTTTTTTTTTCTTTCTAAACTTATCCCTATTACAAAAATAAAAGAACAGGACTAAACACCAATAAAATAATTTTTTTTGACCCACCATCCCCATCCATCCCTAAACCCCATCCAGACACCCTCTCTACCTCTCAAGTCGACACCACCATGGAAATCTTTACCATTCAAAATTACTACAAACTCATTCTTGCTAAGAAATGAGAATGGAATGAGGAAACAAAAGTAAGTTAGCTTATTTCTTATATGAAGTTGTAAATCAACTTTGCGTATATGTGTTTCATAAATGTAGTACAAAGTTTTTTTTTGGTCAAATCGAAAGTTCCGAACTTGACAACACAAGTAAAAATACAGTTTAAATAACTCAAATAGCCCCTAAGAGTATCACTAGTGGGGGTTGTATTTTCAAGGGTGTAAAGCAAATTTTACATTCCCTTTATACCTCCGGGAGATATGCGTTTTTTACTATAATAGAGAATATGTAAATCCAAATATGCATTTTTAACTCCAAGGGGAATGCTAGCAACCTTCTCTCTAACCTTCTCTTTTGTATCTTTTTCCTTCTCCTCATGACGCATGTCACTTTGGTTACTCTTAAAACAATGTTATTAATGCATACACAAACTTTTTTTTTTCTTTCTAAACTTATCCCTATTACAAAAAGAAAAGAATAGGACTAAACACCAATAAAATAATTTTTTTTGACCCACCATCCCCATCCATACACCCTCTCTATCTCTCAAGTCGACACCACCACCTAAAGTCACAATCCCAACCAACATAAGCCCACCACAACATTCTCTCTCCCCTTCCTTCGCCAATCCAACCCAGCCATCCACAACATTCTCTCCATCTCCCTCCCCTTCTCTCTCTCTCTCTCTCTTGCGAACAGCCTTTCCTCCGGCGTTAATTTCCTTCACTGAGTAACGAGCTGTCACCACCTCGTATCGTTCCCTCCTCTCCTCCACCACATTGCGTTGATCTCCACCACGATGTCAATGTCCATCGACCCCCACTACGTCGATCCCTGCCACCTACGTAACATCCTTCCTCACGCCGATTTCCTTTGCTGTAAAAATTGAAATTTTGTGCTTAAATGATTATATCTTTTTTTATTAATTTTTAACAATAATTTAACCAAAACAAAAGGACAAAACCTGCTGTAAAAAAATACACAGGATTTTGAAAAAATAAATAAAGCAATATACAAGGACAATGCATTTAATAGGGATGAACTTGAAAAATAAAAATTAATTTGTGTAATTCATTAATGATATTGTTTTGTGTGTAAGCAAAATGACATACGTAATGAGAAGAAAAGAGAAGGTTCAAAAGAGAAAGTTAGAGAAAAAGATTGCTAGTTTCCCCTAATAAATTAGCTTCCCCTAGCATTCCCCTAGCTTCCTCTATCCTCTCTCCTCCTTTCTAAGTGGTGAGGCCCATTCCAAAGGTGTAAAAACATATATAAACATAGAACTTTTTTTTTTTTTTTTTTTTCCTCGGGCATCAAACGCAATTTTACAACCTTTTATGTACTCTCTAAGTAACAACCCCTGCGCTACGCCGTAACTAATTTTCAAAAAACCATATTTACAACACAGTCCTATAGCACAGTGACTTCACAGCGCCAAGAGCCAACGGCCAAAAGCCAAAAACCAAAAGATCAAGACTCGGTATAATATTATTCTCTTTTGGTTGGAGTTTAAGCAAAGACAAAGAAAAACTTTAAAGTGCGTTTGGATGAGGGAAATAAACTTGGGATTTTGACAAAAGTCGGAATTTCTAAATTGACATGAACCTATTCCCGTGTTTGGATAAAAAAACATAGAAATTTAGAAATTCCGCATGGGAAAAAACATGGAATTCCGAGATCATAAATCCCAACTTTAAATTCCATCTAAAAGTCGTCATTTCTAAAATCCCAAGAGAGATTGAGTTTAAAAAAAGATAACTTTACAAATAAAGGTTAAATTCTGTGTTTTAAATCCGTCACCCAAACAAGAAACTTTACAAATTCTAGAACATTAATTTCCGTCATTTTAAATTCCGTGATTTATGAAATCCTTTGTATTTTTAAATTTCCTTATCCAAACACACTGTTAGTATATTGAAAACCAACTCTTAACTACAAGAAAAAACCAACTGGATTGGTAAGTCTTCTTCATTGATCTTGTCGCTCGATCACTCTCGACGGACCTCTCAATTCTCTATATAAAAACACTTTCTGGGTTTTGTTTGCTCTCTCACTCTGTCAAAAATGGCGCTTGAAGCTTGCTTTCGGCTGCTCTTGCTACTGCTTCTGTTTCTAATTGCAGAACCCAAGTACGTGCAGTACAATACGACGTCGCGCCTCGTCCCCGGGAAGCTCAACGTTCATTTAGTCCCTCACACCCACGACGACGTCGGATGGTTGAAGACCGTTGACCAGTACTATGTTGGCTCCAACAATTCCATTCAGGTCGTTATCTTCTAATAATTTTAATCTCAATATTTGTTTCTGCTTTTTAATTGATTTATGCTTTTAAAAATCGCAGGGAGCTTGTGTTCAAAACGTGCTGGATTCTTTGGTTCCCGCATTGCTGGCCGATAAGAACCGCAAGTTCGTATATGTTGAGCAGGCAATCAATAATATTTTTCACTTTTTCTTTTCTGGGTATAAATAAAGTTGAATAAAGTTGGAATTTTGAATTGGATTTTTTGGTAGCGATGAATGAAATTAAAGTGCTTTGTAAATGCAGGCGTTTTTTCAACGTTGGTGGAGAGAGCAGAGTGAGGGAACCCAGAACACGGTCAGGCGGCTAGTCAACAATGGTCAACTGGAACTCATGTACAAAACCTGCAATGTCTTTGGCATTAGCTATAGTCTGCAATTGTAGTCAAAGTTTCAATCTTTTTGTTTTGAGTCTGTTCAAGTAGGCTGCTATGAGTTTGAAAGAATACATATTTTTGTTGTGTTTTTTTCATTTGGGTTTTGAGTTGCTTAAATTTTGTGTGGCAGAAATGGGGGGATGTGCATGCATGATGAGGCTGCTCCTCATTACATCGATATGATCGATCAGACGACCCTTGGGCATCGATTTATTAAAGAAGAATTCAATATGACTCCAAGAATTGGCTGGCAAATCGACCCATTTGGACATTCTGCAGTGCAGGCTTACCTTTTGGGGGCTGAGGTATGCTTTTTTCTTCAGCTTTATTTGTTACTGAAACTATCAGTTGGTTTATCAGTCACCCAGATTTGTATCATGCATCAGTGAGTGATTTTGCGAAACCATTTATTAAACATCAGCTCTTTTGTTGGCATAGGCTGGATTTGACTCTCTCTTCTTTGCGCGAATCGACTACCAAGACAGAGAGAAACGGAAAAATGAGAAAAGCCTTGAGGTTGTCTGGAGGGGTTCTAAGAGTCTTGGTTCATCTGCACAGGTGTGTGCCACTGCCACAAAGTTTATGTAGTTCTGATGTTCTAGTTGAACTAATTCAAATATCAATGTTCTGCTTTGAAACTATGTTTTTCTGATTGCTTACATTTGAAGATTGGAAATGTTTTATTGATCAAATTCTTTTTGTGTGTAGATTTTTGCTGGTGCATTCCCTAAGAATTATGAACCTCCTACTGATAATTTCTATTTTGAAGTTAATGCCGAATCCCCTATTGTGCAAGTAAGTTCAGTCAACTGAAGCTGACAGGATATTGACATCTACCTATGTGCTCAGTAGTTATGGAAATATTTATTCACTTTGTCCTTCCTTGTTTGAAGGATGATATGGATCTGTTTGACTACAATGTGCCCGATCGTGTTAATGAGTTTGTATCTGCTGCCATATCACAAGTAAGATGCATAATCTGATATTGGCACTCAGCAAGATAATCACTTTTTCATCTGTTTAGGCTGTCAGCCAGTCAAACTTTACTTTAAGAAAGAGTAAAAAATCTGTCAAGGTTTATATAAATTACTTGCCTCTCTTATCCAGGCAAACATTACTCGTACAAATCATATCATGTGGACCATGGGAACGGACTTCAAGTATCAATATGCTAATTCATGGTTCAGGCAGATGGATAAGTTCATTCATTATGTGAATCAAGTTAGTCCAAGGTTGTAAACATTGTTGCCATTTTGCCTTTTCGGCCCTTTTAATGGCATTGTATCTACATACTTAATAATTTTGTATGTTAATGGAAGTACTTGTATTAATGCTTGCAGGATGGACGTGTCAATGCCCTATACTCAACCCCATCAATATACACTGATGC